ATCCTTGCCTTTTATTTGCTTTTTCTTCATCTCCTTTTTATCAGAGCCACTGTGTACTGCCACGCAGGATCAGCGGGACAAAGGAGTTACGGTAAGAAAATAATGTTCTGCAATTTCCATGCAGTCATAATGTCCACTGGCAGTCTAAAAATCCTGTCTTTTTTGTGATAAATGTCCTTGATTCTATCCTGGTCTTCCTTGATATGTACAATAGCTGATCTACCTTGAAGAGTGAATGCACGTTGTCTGAAATTATTTTTATGAAGCGTTTGACATCTGAGGCTGCCTACATAACTTCCCCATCTACTCTCAGTGCATGACATGCAGCATTATTTCAGCAGCAGACATTAGATACTAGATATCTGTTTTCCTCACATTCATTCCTATTTTGCTGTTTTTCTCTGTTTCAGAAGTCTCAGCTAACAGACAGATTTGGAATTTTACATTTATTTATTTAATCAATTAATTATTTAATTAATTAATTTAGATTCAGATTTTTTTAGAATGATATATATAAAATGTTGCAATGGTTATGGGAATATAAAGTGTAACTACTTCTTTTGAAGTGTAACAGTGGGCAAAATAAAAAAAAAAGTCTGTCACTAGCATTAACACAGCAGATTTTATTTTTTGAGTCCCCTGTAAGATTTATTACCTATTAGAAAGCCAACCATGACTGGGTCACCCACGCTCACCTCCAGGGGCTCAAATTCAGAACAGGGCTGACTAAGCCCTAAACACTCCGGCCATTGACAGTCCACAGCCCACACAGATCTCTTAGATACATAGTGTGTGCACAAATTACAGGTTATAAACCTGTAAAGGGGGGGGGTGAAAGGAGGAGGTTGTTGGGTTCTTCTGTGCTATGCTAGGCACTTTGTGGGCAGGGCCACTCGCCCTACACATGGGGTACCTTTGCTGCGTCCCAGGCATCCATGCCCTGGGACAAGGAGGGGAATGCTGTCAGGGAAATTCAATCTTAAGGTTGTCCCCCCAACTCAGAGATGACCATACACTGTGTACACTGAGTGAACAAACTGGACTCCAGTTAACTCTCTTTTCCGTGTCAATGCACATCTTTCACGCTGAGCCTATGCCCATTTCACCCACCCAGCATATCTCTGTGACCTTACTCCCAGTGACAGAATGGGGTCCTGTCATGCACCTAGCGAAGACCTCATGCATGCACTTTGTCTTCTCACTCTCCTGTACCTGGTGGCTAGGCCTAGGACCTCCCTGACGCTGATATTCTCCCCATGCTATAGGAGACGAACCACTGAGGGAAGGATCCCAGAGGCAACCCCTTCACTACCGGAAGATATCTCACCTCACGCACAGGTACCACACTTCCCAACAGGCTGCTTGTACTGAATACTACACTTTGTTTCCCTTGGCAACTACTTGCAGTACTCCATACAGTGTTAACTCTTGCAGAGCTGTCTTCATACCCCAATGTGCTTTAGCTGACCCAAGCTGCAGACTATATGTAGAGTGCCAGTTACTTTCATATACCCCTTTCAATAACTTCAGACCAGGCAGGACAATATTTCAAAAGCTTTACTATGAGAAATTCGATACAACGGTTCCAGAGGAAGCAAACCATCTTTTCCCTAACTGAACCTAGGGTTCCCTTCTTCCCAAGGCCTGGCAAAGGTTCTCGACCCTATCAGGGTAAGTAAGGCCCTCAGGATCCCTTTTATAATAGCACAGGACTGATCGGTTGGACACAAAAAAACTGCAAATTCAGACCAGAAACAGCAGAAAAAGGCATTAACCCTTGCCCCTGACTAGGACAGCCATGCTAACTAGCTCACAGTAGGCACCCTGCCTACAAACCTTTCACTCACCATTTTCCTGACCACTTATAGCAACAACCCACTAATGTCTGAGGATACTCCTTGCACAATGACTTGTGTCTTTGTTGTGGTTACAGAATAAGGCTCAGACAATCCACCGAACATCTAAGGCCCATATGACATGGGGGCCAAGGTCACTTGCCACATGCTACATGAAGAGGATCAGCTCCTCGCTGACAGTAGGGTGACTTTCATCCCCTTTCCAGCACCAGCCCAACCCAACCAGGTTTGCAATTGTGTAATTCTCCACATGATCCTATTTCCCACAGTGTATTTCCTCCACGAGACTATAAATTATAACTAAATGCAAAATGTTTGCTTTTTTTGGACTGAGTGGAGTGAGATTAGAACACCTATCATGTTTTTATTGCTCCTTGTTGCCTCCTTAGGGAGATTCACTCTTTCCATTTGTCATGTTTTTCCATAATTACCAAAAAATGAAGGAACATCCCAAATTTTGGATTGTCCCCAGAACGTTAATAGATGGGGACAGTAGTTTTGGTGAGCCTAGTGACAACCATGGATTTGTTTGGAGAAACTTCCTCTAACTTCCTTTTTTTGCTATGGGATAGGAAGTGAAGAGAAATCTCCCCAATGGGACAATTTTGCCTTTAGTTCAAAAGTTTAACACTTTTAAAAAAATATGATTTAGTGGGTGACTTAAACCGTCTTTCAGCAAGAAATGTAACTCCTTGCTTAACCTCCCTAGCGGTCTGATTATGTCCATATTTCTGTGCTCAAAGCGGTACTTTTTTTGCATGGAAATATGTATTTTGTTTATTGTAGGCTGTAATTTTTAGGAATAACTCACTGAAATCTATCCGAACAAGAGTGTAGTACAGATCCCGGGTATGTTACAATTTGAAACACGAAATCATAAATTATAATTTAATAAATAATCATAAAAAATAATAATATTATAATAATAAATTTAATTCAATAATATAATCAAACCAAAAACACTGAAATTTGAAATATAGCACCAAGTTCGCACATCACTGAGCAAAGTCGCAAAATCGTTTTCAGTGTCTGATGACGAATTTCCCCACGAATCATGATCACTCAATTCTGCAAGTGGTTCTGATTTACTATCGCTGTTCTCTAGCTGGTCTAAAACAGATTTTGACCTAAAGGGACGCTTTTTGGACACCATGGACATTTCTCAGTTTCCAGGCAGAAAGAACAGTAAAAATGCAGGCAGGTCACAGGACAAAGCATTAGGGACAAAATGTATGTGAAATGGATTGATACAGCAATGTTTTACTATGTGATTTTAGCATATTTAGTGAATGTCACTTTTTGTCATTTTCAAATTTCCCGCCGTTCCGTCCCCATACGTCCTGACGCTCGCAGGGGGCGGAACCCAGATGACAGATGCCGGCATCCACCGGAGGACATTGCCGGGGACACTGCAGGAGGGACATCGCGGGAGCGCAGGACAAGGTAAGTGAAGAACAGATCCCAGAGCAGAGCCACATGGTAAGCCCGAGTGTAGCTCCGGGTTACCGCTTTTGGTACTGAAACTTTACCCCGAGCTACACTCGGGAATACCGCCAGGGAGGTTAAAAGAGCCTAATAGCAAGAAATTGGAAACAAGGAGTTTTTTTCCTAACAAGTTAAAGCAGAACTCAAAGCAAAAATGCTCACCCATGCTCCATTGGCCCAATTCTCGCAAAGTCCCTCGCTGGTGCTGACATCTATTACTTCCTGGGTGCAGGATGATGTCACTCCCGTGCATGTGCAGGAGTATATCTTCTTGACATGCTGGAACTGTGCCAGAAATGTAAATAAAGCACAACTTCATTTTCATTCTGGAGGGGATTGCGAAGGTAGGTAAGTGCATTTATTGCAAAAAAGAGCCTGTCTGTACGCCAATTATTTTTCGCAATCAGTTCTGTTTTAAAATCTCCTTTGTAACTTTACCACGAGGACTCAGTTTATTGAGTATACATCCAAGACTTTATTCTTACATTATTCTTCATAAATAACATTTCTAGTTAAACATTATGTATATACTGTATATATTCTATTTTAACACCAGCTGTATAAAATGCTGTCTGTTGCTAAAGAGGCAATTATTTTGTCACTTTCGTGTACATAATTAAATGAGTCAATAACCACTTTACACTTAATCTATCTTTTTATAGTTGTGAGCTCTAAAATACATGTGCGTGTACTTAATTATTTGATCACTTCAGCTTATATTTTCACTTAACATTTCTTTATTCTGTCATTCAATAGGATTATTGTGGATAAGTATTTACGTACTGAGACACTACTGTGCCAGTGTGTAATACATGTATTTCATCTGCTGCTCAACACGATTGCTATTCATACTCCAAAGTGATGCACTTCAGATGATGAACCTTTAGTCACACCATAGCCAGCAAGCCCACAAAGTAGCTTCTGGGCTGTTCTAAACCACAACCTGGTAAAATATTCTAAGCAAATAAATCAGGTTAACTTTTTTATTTTGGATAACCTTCTAACTCAAGGATAGCAATGGCTGTAGTAACATTCTATGGTGACAATTTCCCTACAACAAGTTGTGTGTTAGTGGCAGGAGCACCAGGTGACCATAAAATAAAAAAGCCTGAAAATAATAAAACTAATGCAGCCACCACTTCTAAAGCACTGGTAATTTGCAGTATGTTTTTGTTTTCTTTAGACACACTTTCAGTCAAAGTGTTCAGCACTGCTCACTGCAAACCTTGGCCAAAGATAAAATAATAGCATACAGTAGCAACTGATGGATATTTAGGTTTAGATGCGTATGTCTTATTTTGGCCTCTTTTTTCCTGTATGCTGCTACTATTAGGAGGGCAGGTGTGTAAGCATAACTTAACTCCATCAATATGGATGCAGGTTATTAATGTGGTCAGGTTATGAATCAAAAATATACATATTCTTAACAAGTAGTAGATATACTTTAACCACCGTCCGCCCGCCCTACAGTACAATGACGGGCGCAAGGTGGTTCTCTCGTTCTGATAGGACGTCATATTACATCCTACCATTCTCACTGTGCATGCGCGGCTCAGGGAGCTCGCAGCGCGGCGATCGCCGGTCCGCTGTGTCCGATCACGGAAAGAGTCGAAGATGTCGGCTCGGTCATGTGATCAGCTGTGTCCAATCACAGCTGATCACATGTAAACACGGAAATGCCGGTTATCTGTATTTCTCTCCTCTCGAGCTGTCACGCTGACAGCTCGAGAGGAGAGGAGAGCCGGTAATCGGCTTTCTGCGGAGGGGACATGTACACAGATCTTCAGGGCACTGATGATCAATGTGCCCTGATGATCAGTGTGGCCCCAGAAGTGCCACCTGTCAGTGCTCATCAGTGCCACGTGCCAGTGCCCATCAGTGCCGCAGCAATGCCACATATCAGTGCATATCAGTGCACATCAATGCCACATATCAGTGCCCATCTGAACTGCCTTTCAATGTCGCCAGTCAGTGCCACCTATCAATGCCAATCAGTGCCATCTATCAGTGCTGCCAATCAGTGCCACCTATCAGTGCCAGTCAGTGTCGCCTATCAGTGCCAGTCAGTGCCGCCTATCAGTGCCAGTAAGTGCTGCCTATCAATGCCGCCTATCAGTGCCATATATCAGTGACATGTATCAGTGTCATGTATCAGTGCTGCCTTTTAGTGCCCATCAGTGATGCCTGTCAATGCCCATCAGTGCAACCTACCAGTGCCTCCTCATCAGTGCCCATCAGTGCCACCTATCATTGTCCATCAGTGCAGCCTATCAGTGCCCATCATTGCAGCCTCATTAGCGCACATCAGTGAAGGAGAAAAATCACTTACTTACAAAAATACCACCAAAAGAAAGCTCTATCTGTCTCAAAAAAATGATAAAAATTTCATATGGGTACAATGTTGCATGACCGCGCAATTGTCATTCAAAATGTGACAGCGCTGAAAGCTGGAAATTGGCCTGGGCCGTAAGTGGCCTGTAGACTAATGGTTAAAACAAGTCTTTAATGATTTCTGTAGCTCCGGGGAATAATTAATTCTTTACATGCTTTCCCATGCACACAGCAATTTGATTTTTTTTTATAGCACCTAGTTAGCTTGGGGGGAGCTAGCTAATAATTTTTTTTAGCTAGAAGTCTGAGTAGCAGCCTGAGTGATAGTCAGAGGGGTCAAATTTGGGTCAGGGCAGACAGTCTCTGCAGATAAGCTCTCTGATAACTCAGCCTGATCTAGAGACTTGGAGAAGTCTCTAGAACTCTGTGGGCGGGGGTGGGGATTTGCTGGTATGCACTCTTGAGGGATCCTGGCGAATACCCAGGCAGGAGGCTTGGCATGGTGTCAGGACAGCCTTGGCATGGTGTCAGGACAGCCCTTCAGAGTGACTGAGCCTGCTCAGAGGCAGGAGAGTTTGGGTGGAAGATTTAAAGAAGGCTGAGATGCAGAGGCCTGGGAGGGAGCTCAGTGGGAAGGGGCCTACCTCCAGGCAGGGCTGCTGGAAAGGAGGATCGTTCAACTTTGGGAGACCCATGAGAGAGGACCACCTGTGCAGCAAAGAAGTAGCCAGCCCAGTAGAAAGCCTGGCAACAACCAACCCAACAAGCACACACGAGAGGAAGAGTGAGTAATCCTACACCCCTCTGGGCCAGTTAAGGGGAAAGGGGCATTCTGGTGGGAAACCTGACTAGCTCCTAACTTGGAATTGTTTCAACTTAAAGTGGCAGGCACTGGATCCCATTGCACAGGGATTTCCTCTAGATAGCTGGATGAGAAGAGGATTCATCTGGGTCTGGGGTGGTACACAAGGATAAGCTGGAGAGCTCTCCAAGAAATAATTTTTGCTATAAAAAGACTTGTACATAGGATGTTGTCCTCAGTTTATTGTTCCTTTGGCATCCTCAACACCCCTTACCCCATCCAAGTTCAAATACCCCTAATAAATCTTAAAATACAAGCTCAAGAACTGTTTACTGTCTCCTGCATGCAAGCTGGAATGCAAGTCTGAAGAAAATGTGTGTTGCCTGGCTGTACAGATCCCTGAAGAGTGGACAAAGGGACGGGAGCCTTTAAAAAGGGAAAGCACGGGAATATTAAGGAGAAAAAGGAGGAGACAGGGACAGAATCAGGATGTGTGAGAGAAGGTAGTGTGGATCCAGGAGGGCACAGGCCGGATCAGATCAGGCTGGAGAGCTGAGGAGGGGATTCCAGAAGCAGGATAGCTGATTCTGCAGGCAGACAGATCACCATCGGCAGCACTTCATCCGCAGGAGGACAGAGGAATGCAGGAAATCAGCATTAACACTTCTGCTTCCCTGATAGGCAGGAATTCTGTATGCATCCCACTTCATGCCTATTCTACCCAAGGAAGGAACAAGTTTTACCAGCCCAGTTCTGCACTTAAAGGGATACATTTCTGATGAATTCTGCTCCCACCCATTTCCAGCTTAAGTAACTTCTATAATCATTTGATGTCCTAAAAGTGACTTTCCAGGGTTGTCGCTATCTATAAAAGGGGAACTCTGCTTGCTATTTCACCATTTCTGGGAATTGCCATTTTTTCACACCCAAAGAGACCACGCCTCTACCGTGCACCAACGTAAAGGTCCCATCAAGCCAGCAGAAGAGACCTATGTGTATTTTGTAATTGGTTCTATATGAGACATTTTTTATCAAAATCATCAGAGAGTTAAACCCTGACTCTAGTTACTGGGAGCCCACAAGTGAGCTAGCCTAAAATCTCGTTCTTTTCTTTTCTGCTCACTTGGGGAAATCCTCAAGGTGGGAGAGCTAATGTTTAACCTTCACACAAACCAATCAATATACAATTATTGGGATTTTTTTTACCATAGACATGTAGCAGAATACTTTTTGGCTTAAATTTATTAAGAAATTAGATTTTTTTTTTTAAATGTTATTGGATATTTTTTATAGTAGAAAGTTAAAAATATTGGTTCTTTTTTAAAATTTTCAGTCTTTTACCATTTATATAATAAAAAACCCAGTGGTGATCAAATAAAACCAAAAGAAAGCTCTGTTTGTGTGAAAAAAAATTATTTACATTTTGTTTGGGTACAGAGCTTTCCATGACTGCATAATTACCAGTTAAAGTAGCACAGTACTAAATAGAAATAAATGGCCTGTTCATGAAGGGCTTGAAACCTTCTGGAGCTGAAGTTGTTACCCACTACTCTCTGAATATGGTCTTTGAGCCAGTTTTCTATCCATTTACAAAACTGGTAAACGTTAACTCCTCAGCCCTCTATTTAATATTACTTAGCAGAGAAACTTCAGTTTTAGAGCAAACACAAATTAGGCAGCAATTTTATTTTTTCTTTGAAGTTATGGCATGAAAATGGGTACATGTAATAAATATAAGGTACAGTATGATTCCTTCTAAATTGGCTTCATTTCAGCAACTTAGCTCACCTTGCTTCCAAGTTCTAGAATGAACTGTTCCATAACTATAGAGCTCAGTGAGGGCTTGTTTTAAAATTCAATTACAGCTTTGTTAGGCGCATGAAAATATTTAAATATCCTGAGCCCAGCCACAGTTTTACTTCTAAGTATATGCGGGAAAGGTGCTACAAAACTTATTGTCCACAATTGTGAGTAACTGTCTTACTAACAACGCCACCATCTCCCCCACACGCCAAAGTCCTGGGTGTCACCCTGGACTCCCACCTCTCCTTCCTACCCCACATCCAACTGCTATCTAGATCTTGCAGGCTCCACCTCCGCAACATCTCCAAGATACGCACATTCCTCACCCCAGACACCACCAAACAACTAGTACACTCCCTCATCATCTCACGCCTGGACTACTGCAATTCCCTTCTCACTGGCCTACCCAAATGAGCACTATCCCCACTCCAGTCGATCCTAAACTCTGCGGTTAGACTCATCCACCTCACCGACCTCTCCACATCTGCCTCCCCCCTCTGCCAATCCCTTCATTGGCTCCCGATTGCCCAATGCATCAAATTCAAACTGCTAACTCTGACCTACAAAGCCATTCACAATGCCGCCCCAATCTACATAACTGACCTGATACCCAAATACTACCCTACCCGTGCCCTCCGCTCCTCACAGGACCTCCTACTCTCTAGCTCCCTGGTCTCCTCCTCCCACACTCGATTGCAAGACTTCTCCAGGACTTCCCCCATCCTCTGGAACTCCCTACCCCAATCCATCAGACTATCACCTACCCTCCTCACCTTCAGGTGCACCCTGAAAACCCTCCTCTTCAGGGAAGCCTACCCCAACCTCACCTAACACCCGACCTCACCTAAAAACTAACCTCCTCCACTTCTCCCGCCACTCCATCCCCCACAGCCATCTCCTCCTGTACCACCTTCCCCTCCCTCCTAGATTGTAAGCTCGAAAGAGCAGGGCCTTCGAACCCCTCGTGTATTGTATTGTTACTGTCTTGTCTCATGTTATGTCCCCCCTGCTACTGTACAGCGCTGAGCATACCCATTGGCACTATATAAATACTGTATAATAATAATAATAATATTTTATTCTGCTGAATCACTTCCCTGAGGCTGCTCCATGTGTCAAAAGCACCCCTAAACAGAAGAGCTTGTCTTGAGAAAACTCCAGATGTATAAAATGTAGCAGGGGAACCACACCAACTGAAATAAAGCCCAGAGGGATATTTTACTGAATAATCAATAAAATAGAAGGTGCAATGTATTTACATACTCGCCTTTCATCAGGGCTACAATGCAAATGAAAAAGTATATATCTCATTCAATATTTTTATTGAAATTGAAGAAATAAGTATAACAGCAGAATCGCCCGCACAGGAGGAATGAAATATCTGATTAAGATGTAAACACTAACAACAAAAGAAAGAAAAAGGAACGTAAAATATGAGCAGAGGTTAACGACTCAGATTACTGAGACTCTAACGACCAGGACTGTAGAGCACCAATGGGGCCAGGCCATTGCAGGGATTCCCAAGAGATAATATGTGTGCTTTAATGCAGAAAAAAAAGGTGTATATCTAAACATTCACAAGTTAATAAAAACTAAACAAATAACTTTAAGCTGTAAACACTAAAAATACAAAAAAAAAATACCAATTACTGTATAGTAGTACTATAGAGAGGAAGGCAAAAAACACAATTAAATTAGTATAATAGATGGATATGATTGTTACTTCAATTGTGACTTTTAAACATTCCTCCACATAGTATCACTATAATTTGTATTGTAAAGAAATAGATTTTTTTAGCATTTTCAGTTTTTACAACTCAACGTGATTAATTTATTTTTTATAGCAAAGAGATTAAAAAAAAGAGTTGCCAATCTTCGTGTGATAGCAATAAATCTAACTAAAAGAAAAACTGTACGAAGGTTTAAATAAAAAAATATTCAAAGCTCCTTGGTCTCTATGTGCATGCACATATGGTGAATACAGGTATGTAAACGATAATTGAACAACACTTATTATGTACCACCATGCCTGCCGAACTGAGAGGAATAATTAAAATGCCATTATTTGTGGT